CAGGTCCTTCTTTGCACGAGGCCGAACACGGGGCCCGTCCTGTGCGTCGAAGACCTCTGCGTGCGAGGTTAGAGGCAGGCCAACCAGGCCGAATCACCCAGGAAGCCCGCTGGCACAACGGAGTGCTCTGCTCCCCTGCTGCCGCCTCTGTCGCTCGGCTCCACGTTCTGTCCGCCGATGGAAGCCGTGCCAGACGCGTCGCGGGAGCACGTCTCCGTCTCAGCTTACCATCTGGATGAATAGGCCTTGTGTGGAATTCATCTCTCAGGATGCCGTCTTTTCAAGATTGCCGAATCGTCAGGGTTTTCAAGTGGATAGGGATGACCACTCACACCTCCCACCATATGCTTTATCACAACAATTTGGATTTCCGATTTTGCAGATCCTGTGTCTTTTCTGGCAGCCAGCAGACGGGACATCTCACTCAGGAGTGCCTGCCGCCCACACCCACAAGAGTGACACATATCAACACGATATATGAGGGAGATGGCCCAGCTATAAGTAGCCTCAACGATAGCCGAATCGAATACTCGTGCCTGGTGTTTATGTAACGTAGCTTCGCTTTGCGACCTGTCCTATCCCGTCCTGTCCCTCCCTCCCTCCCTCCACCCTCCCTGCCCCTATCCCCGACGTGCCCGTCCCCCGAGGAGGAGGAGGAGGAGGAGGGGGAAGAGGAGGAGGAGGAGGAGGAGGAGGAGGAGGAGGAGGAGGAGGAGGAGGAGGAGGAGGAGGAGGAGGAGGAGAGGAGGAGGAGGAGTTGGACGAGGAGGAGGAAGAAGAGGAGGAGGAGGAGTTGGACGAGGAGGAGGAGGAGTAGGAGGAGGAGGAGGAGGAGGAGGAGGGCGTGGAGGACGAGGACGAGACTCTCCTCCACCCCTGGTTGGCCGGGAGCCCGCGCCTTCCCCGTGTGCCTTCCGCGCGCTCTTGCGATGCCCCCCCCCGCCGGCCCCGCAGGGAGCGCGCCGCGGGAGTGGTATCGGCGGCAGTGCTCGCAACGGTCAGGTCCGCAGGGGCTGCGCAGGGGGGAATGCCCCTCCTCCCCCTTGTGCATGGGGGCGAAGACGAGGATGGAGAGGAGGAGGAGGAGTGGTGGAGGACGTGGAGGCGCAGGGCGATGACGACGACGGCGATGATGGGAATGATGGGGATGATGGGGATGATGATGATTATGATGATGATGATGATGATGATGATGATGATGATGATGATGGTGGTGGTGGTGATGATGATGCTGCTGCTAATGCTGCTGATGATGGTGGTGGTGATGATGATGCTGATGCTACTGCTTCTGCTGCTGCTGATGATGATTATGATGATGCTGATTGTGGTGGTGATGCTGATGATTATGATGATGACGCTGCTGCTACCGCTGCTGATAATGGTGGTGATGATGATGAGTATGCTGATGATGATGATGATGTTGATGCTGATGCTGACGATGCTGCTGGTGATGATGACGATGACGTTGATGATGCTGATACTGATGCTGATGATGTGGTGATGGAGATGCTGCTGATGATGATGTCGCTGATGATGATGCTCCTGCTGATGATGATGACGATAATGATGATGGTTGGGGTGCTGCTGCTGCTGATGACGCTGCTGCTGCTGCTGTTTATGATGATGATGATACTGATGACGATCATGATGATGATGCTGATGATGCTGATGATGATGATGCTGAGGATACGGATGATGATGCTGATGGTGGTGATGATGATTATGCTCATGTTGATGATGATTATGCTCATGATGTTGCTGATGATGATGATGATGATGATGATGATGATGATGATGACCATGATGATGATGATCTGATGATGATGCTGATGCTGCTGATGACCATGATGATGCTTATGATGCTGCTGATGATGCTGATGATGATGATAATGAGGATGATGCTTTTGATGATGATGAGGATGCTGATGATGATGATTATGATTATGATGATGCTGATGAGGCGGATGATGATGATGATGATGATGATGATGATGATGATGATGATGATGATGATGATGATGATGATGATGATGATGATGGTGATGGTGATGATGATGATGATGATGATGATGATGATGAGATGAGGATGAGGATGAGGATGATGATGATGATGATGATGATGATGATGATGATGATGATGATGATGATTATGATGATGCTGATGATGATGCTATGATGATGATGATGGTGGTTGTGTTGATGATGATGACCATGATGCTGATGGTGGTGCTGGTGGTGATGCTGCTGCTGATGATGACGATGGTGATGATGAGGCTGACGATGATGATGATGCTGATGCTGATGATGATGCTGGTGATGATGAGGATGCTGATGCTAACGATGATGCTGCTGCTGCTGCTGCTGCTGATGATGATGATGATGATGATGATGATGATGATGATGATGATGGTGGTGGTGGTGGTTGTGATGCCGATGATGGTGCTGCTGCTGCTGATGATGACGGTGCTGATGCTGATGCTGATGCTGATGCGAATGCTGATGCGGATGCTGATGATCATGAGGACGATCATGGTGATGATGCTGAGGAGGAGGGGGAGGAGGAGGAGGAGGAGGAGGAGGAGGAGGAGGCGGCGGAGCAGGATGAGGAGGAGGAGGAGGAGGTTGAGGAGGCGAAGGCGGAGCAGGAGGACCATATGACTTCCAGTATGCATCCCGTCCCAAGGTTCCTCGTAAATCCCTGCGCGATTATTTTAACCTCGGGAATTGCCTCATCGAACGCCGAGCGTCTCATGTGCCTGACATTCAGACGATAATGCCTGTTCGAAAAGGAAACGCCCTTCATCCTTCGAGCCATGCCAAGCGGTATATTCTTACAGGTCAGGGAAGTGTCGAGCGATTGTTCCGTGTTGAAAGATGAGTCGCTCTCCAGCCGTGTATCTGTCGTAACATTTCTTGCCCTTGCCGTCAGACAAGAATACGTTTCACATTCTTGAGAAGGAGCCGCTTTCATCTGTGAAGCTGACGCGCAATTCACAATCCGCCCCATCCCGATTCAGGAGGGCTCAGTCGATATCCAATGTTGAAAAGGTACCGCTCCCCATCCGTGGTCCAGCGGTAACTTTTAAGACAAGCTTGCGCGTTGTCAGGCGAGAGCCACATTCTGAACGCCACCCACCTTCCATCCGCGTAACTGTTGGAATATTGGAAGACGAATGTGTGAGGCTCTAAGACTAGAGCTACACTTTGAAAGCCACACGCTTTCCATTCGGGTAGATGCTGGAAGCCTTTGTGACGAATGCGCGCGGCGCCAAGGCGAGCAATGCTGCAGTTTCGAGCTTCTTGGTCATACGCTGTGGGGTAATCTCGATCGAGACGCCCAGCCCGCCCTACCGACACGTCTGGTGGTGCGGAGTGGGAGAAGGAGAAGGAGGAGGAGGAGGAGGAGGAGGAGGAGGAGGAGGAGGAGGAGGAGGAGGAGGAGGATGATGATGATGATGATGATGATGATGATGATGATGATGATGATGATGATGATGATGATGATGATGATGATGATGAGCTATTACATACTAAGAGTTATGGCGAAGAAGGGGAGACGTAGATAGAGGGAGCGGGGGATGGGAGGGGGTCGATGGGGGCGGGGGGAGTCGGAGGATGGAGGTGGGGTGCAGGAGGAGAGGGAGGATTGGATTAGCTGCACCTCAGCGCAGAAGGCTAAGACGGGAAAGAAGGGAGGAAACCACCAGGGCACTTGCGCCCCGCTCAGCCGGGGCAGCTGACCCAGTGGCTAAACCCCTGACCCACCGTCGAAGCCTGAGGGCACCGCCGTCCCAGCGGCGGACTGTCTCACTCCCTCGGCCGCAATACAGCGGAGGGGGGGGGAGGGACACTAATTCATGTTGCTGTTTTTCACCTGTCAAGCAGGAGCGGCGCAGTGACGTGCCCGAAGGCGACGCTGCCTTTTGGGGGACCTCGGCGCAGGCCTCCTCACAGGTGCGGCGCCCGTCGCGAGCCTCACCCTGCGGCGCCGACGAGCGACAGGACGATCTCGTGCAGCGGCTGCATGTTGTCAAGCAGCTGCTCCTTCGTCTTCTGGACGGACTCGTCTAGCTTCTTGTCGAGCTGGCCCTCCATTTCCTCGTGCTGCTGCTCCTGCTTCTCCTCCAGCTTGTTGGAGAATTCGTGCAGCGGCTGCAGGCTCTCAATCAGCTTCATCTTCATCTTGAGGGCCTCGTCTAGCTTCTAGTCGAGCTGGCCCTCTAACAGCGCGTGCTGCTTCTGCTGCTTCTCCTCCAGCTTGTCGAAGACCTCTTGCGGCGGCTGCAGGCTCTCAAGCAGCTGCATCTTCATCTTCTTGAAGTCCTCTGCAAGCGCCTCGTGGAGCTGGCCCTCCGTATCCTTGTGCTGCTTCTGCAGCTTCTCCTCCAGCTTGTTGAAGCTGTTGTGCAGTGGCTGCGTACACAGGAGGGGGAGGAGGAGGAGGAGGAGGAGGGAGGATGAAAAGGAGGAGGAGGACGAGGAGGAGGAGGACGTGGAGGAGGAGGAGGAGGGAGGAGGAAGAGAGGAATGGGGTGATGAGGATGGGGATTAGGAGAACGAGGACGAGGAGGAGGAGGAGGAGGAGGAGGAGGAGGAGGATGAGGAGGAGAAGGAGGAGGAGGAGGAGGAGGAGAGGGAGGAGGAGGAGGAGTAGGAGGACGAGGTGGAGGAAGAGGAGGGGGGGGAGGAGGGAGGAAGGGACGGAGGGAGCGAGGGGAAGGGAGAGAACGTGGCAGGTAGGGGCCGGAAGAGCGAGGCGAACAGGAGGACGAGGGAAGCGAGGGAGCGGCGGGGCGAAGAGGGAGCGTGACGGGGCGGTCGCTAACGCCGGGCGGGGCAGCACCCGCTCATGTCCGCGCTGGCCCCGACGAGCCCCTACGCCGCCGGCTCGCAGATCGTCATGCGCGAGCCGCCGCGGTCCCCAACCGCTGGCTCGGGCGCCGCCACGCCGATGGCCTCGGCCAGGATGGCCTCGCAGCCGTCAGGGCTAACGCCAGGCGCCCAGGGTCGGGAGAGGCGGGCGAGGAGAGTGGGCGGGAGGGAGGGAGGGATGGGCTCTGGGCGGAAGGCATCGACCCCCAAGCCCCCTTCATCGCCGATGGGGGCATGACAGCCCACCCCGCCCAGGAGCGTGCGGATTCGAGATCGGGGGCCCATCGCCGACCTATCGGCGATGTATCCCCCCTGAGCCAGTGCCCCCCTTGACGTTTCCCCTCACTCCTCCGTTATCCTTCTCCCCTTCCCTCCTTCCCTCCCTTTCTCCTCTTCCTCCTCCTCCTCCTCCTCTTCTTCCTCCTCCTCCCTCTCCTCCTCCTCCTCCTGCTCCTCCTCCTCCTCCTCCTCCTCCTCCTCCTCCTCCTCCTCCTCCTCCTCCTCCTCCTCCTCCGGGATTGGGCTTGTTTGGGGGGATCGGGCGGGTCTTTCATATCAGAACTTGTCGTGGTTCGTCCGTGCTCCCGCCTTTGGCCGTTGAGCACAGGCGCGCCTCTCTCTTTCATGTTCCCCCGCGGTCCACTGCTCGACTGCGGCGAGGCCTCGCCTCTTGTAAAGTGTGCGCGCCGGCCTCTCTTGGGACGGATCGGCGCGCCTCCAGCTACGTCTACTCCTCTCCTCCTCCTCCTTCTCCTCCTGCTCCTCCTCCCCCTCCTCCTCCTCTTCCTCCTTCTCCTTTTTCTCCTCCTCCTCCTCCTCCTCCTCCTCCTCCTCCTCCTTCTCCTCCTCCTCCTACGGTCTTGGCCCCCGCGGAGGCGCCGTCAGTTCTGCCCTGGGCACGGACTCGAACGGCCGCCCGGTCCAACCTGGGCGCCGCGTTGCCGAGGCACTTCAAAGGTTCGGCACGCGGCGGTGGGCCAGCGCGGGGGCTCAGTATCGTTTATCCGACCCCATCCCCATCCCCATCCCCATCCCCATTCCCTTCGAGACCCCCACCAAACTATCACCCCAGTTGGGGATACACCCCTCGAAACCCGAAGGGGACGGCCTATATCCCCATCTAGGGGGGTAAGTCGGCCAGTGGGACCCAGGCCACGCCGCTGGGGATGGGGATCGGTTAAACGATACTCGCAGCGCGGATGGGGAGGTCCGAGCCAGCGTCCTTGGTCGAAGTCTGCGTCTTCTCCTGGTTGACCTTGAGTCCCTGCTGGGAGAGCGTCTCGACGACGATCCGGTTCGCCGCCGCCGCGTGTTTAGGCGCGGTGAATATCATTATGTCGCCCGAGTAGCTGAAGGCCTTTCAGTCGGGCGAGAGTATCTGCAGCGCGGCATGGATCTCGTCCAGGGCGTGTGCGATAGCGATGGCGAACAGCCCTGGGGACAGGGCAGCCTTGGTCAACCCCGCTGGTCGCCCGCACCGTTACGGCTTCGTCGGCGTCGTTCCAGAGCAGGTGCGTCGTGGTCCTGCCACACGAGCCGTGCCCCGAGGTTCCCTCCCTCCCTCCCTCCCTCCCTCCCTCCTCCTCCTCCTCCTTGTTCTTGCTCGTTCCCCCCTCCCTCCTCCCCTCCCCTCCACAATTCCACAATATGAATACCACTCTCATCTCTCCCCTGGTGACGTCCGGAAGATATCCGGCCCCCTCCGCGTGCTGGTTTTTGCGCAGGATTCTTGGGAGATGGGTTTTCTCTGTTTTTTTTCTAAATGTCGCTCCCGCTGAAGCGCTGGCCCGTTTCTGCGCCTCGGCTTGTTCCAAATCGTGCTCCCGCTGCAGCGCGGGCGTTTTCGATCCTTCTAACGAAGTCCAAAGGTAGAAAATGCCTCCCGAAAAAAACCATCGGAAGTGATTACACATTCGGTGTCGATTGACTGACTTTTTGGGCGGCAGACCCCCCCTCACTTTGGGACGTCGTCGTTTTCAGGAAATATCAAGAGGGAACCCCGTTTCTGCTTTGAGAAGGAGATGGTGAAAGCAGAGGCAGCGGGTGCTCGCCATCAGCCCTGCCTTGTGTGGAGCTTGTCGGGGAGCCCAAGGAGCTAGACATGGGTGCATGGGGCCACGATTCCAGACCAGCCCAGACATTTCGAAGACGATCCATTCACCCCCCAAGGAACCTGGCGCCATGCCATGACATGCTGTGCGGTGTTGTGTTTTGCGCCGCTGTGCGATCCCATGCTTTCCGTTGCAATGCTTTGTGATGCGATGCTTCACTGCGCAATGCCACGCCATGCTATGGCATGCTCTGCTCTGCCGTGCTCTTTTGCGCCATGCCATGCCGTGCTCTACCATGCATCGCGTTCCCTCTCGCGGTAATTGCCCTGCTCGACATCCGACTGTGCGAATCGAAAGGCTATCTACGCCATAGTAAGGGATGTGAGGGAGGGGTAGGACGTAAGATATGACGCGAGCGCGCCTAGCTTGCCTCCCCTCCCCTCCCTCCCGTCCCCTCCCCTCCTCTCCCTTCCTTTTTTCTCTTCCCTCCCCTCCCCTCCCTCGCTGCCATCCTTCCTCCTCGTCCTTCCTCTTTCCCTCTCCCGGGGGGAGGACAGGGGGGGTCGATGATTGAGGCGTTCGGGGTTCGGGGACGCCTTTGGCGTTGTTCGGCTTCGGCCCGTTTCGGCTCCGTCCCGTTTTGGCTTCAACGGTCTCTCCAGGTTTGGTCCCGATTCGGCGCAGCCTGTTTCGGCTTCGGCCCGTTTCGTCCTGGCCCGTTTTGGCGTCGGCCCGTTTCGTCCCCGCCCGTTTCGGCTCCGGCCCGTTTCGTCCTGGCCTGTTTCGGCTTCGGCGCGTTTCGTTTTTTTGCCCGATTGGGCTTCGGCTTGTGGCGGCTCTGGCAAGCTGCCGGTAGCGCAGGCTTGTTTCGGCTTTGGCCCATTTCGGCTTCGGCTCGTTTCGGCTCCGGCCCGTTTCGGTTCTGGTCCGTTTCGTCCCAGCCCGTTTCTGCTCCAGCCAGTTTCGTCCTGGCCTGTTTCGGCTTCGACCCGCTTTGTCTTGGCCCATTTCGGCTTTGGCTTGATTCGGCTCCAGCCCGTTTGTGTTTCGTTTTGCGAAGGTTTGGGTCGGTTTCGCTGCCAGCCGATCGTTTTGCGCATTCATCGTGGCGCCCGCCATTGGTGTTGTGAGACTGACCAGCGAGTGCATGGGACATCTGGTCAGTGATAATTGCGCCTCCCTCTTTGCCCCCGCCCTCGTCATTTTCCACAGGCGTCCTGGGCGCCAAACCTGGGAAATCCAGTGGGGGTGACCAGTGGGTTGATTAGGTAATGTTGGCTAGGATCAACTTCCACCCCTGCCTCCTTCCACCTCAGGGTCGCCTTCTTTCCTGCTCCTCGACCGTGCTCTCCGCTTTTTCTTACTTGTCTTCTCTCCCCCGCCCATGCCCGTCCAGTCGGATGCAAACGGATGCGGCGGGGGAAGACGAGGAGGATAAGGGACAATAAGGAAGAGGAGGAGGAGGCGGAGGAGGAGGAGGAACAGAAAGAGGAGGAGGAGGAATACTACCACTCCTACTACCACCACTACTACTACTACTACTACTACTACTACTACTACTACTACCACTACTACTACTACTACTACTACTACTACTACTACTACTTCTACTACTACTACTACTACTAGTACTAGTACTAGTTCTAGTACGAGTACTAGTACTAGTACTACTACTACTACTACCACTACTACTACTAGTTCTACTACTACTACTACTACTACTACTACTGCCACTGCTACTGCTACTAATACTACTACTACTACTACCACTACTACTACTAATCACACTCATCATAATAGTATTACTGTTCGTAATGCTGATAAGCAGACGAATAGCAATACTACTAATGATGTTAAGACGAATGCGAACAATGATAAGGAATCGAATAACAATAGTAGTACTAATCGTAGTAGAAATAATACGAAGAAGACGAACGATACCACAACTACTACTTGGAATCTAGTCGTAATATTAACACAGAGAGGAATAAGTTCACGAATGAAGCGAGTAAGAAGGCTACCACTACCACTACTACTACTACTACTACCACCACTAGTACTACGATTAGTGCTACTACTACTACTACGACTACTACTACTACTACTACTACTACTGCTACTACTACTACTACTACGACTACTACTGCTACATTATTATTACGATTATTTATATTCATAATGCCAACATTAAAGAAGATGCTCATAGTATTAATACTGACACCAGCTCTATTGCGAATGCTATACCAATCGTAGTATCGATACTACTAGTAACACTAGTAGTAGTAGTAGTAGTAGTAGTAGTAGTAGTAGTAGTAGTAGTAGTAATAGTAGTACTAGTCGGAATAGTAGTAGTAATAGTAGTAGTAGTAGTAGTAGTAGTAGTAGTAGTAGTAGTAGTGGTAGTAGTAGTAGTATGAGTAGTATTAGTAGTAGTAGTTGTCGTTGTCGTTGTCGTTGTCGTAGTAGTAGTAGTAGTAGTAGTAGTAGTAGTAGTAGTAGTAGTAGTAGTAGTATTAGTAGTAGTACTACTACTACTACTACTATTTCGATATCAGTGCTAGTATTAGTACTCATAATACTTCCAACAGCAATACTACAGCGAATCACAATGCTCTTACGAGTACTACTAACACTAATAATGCGACTACTTGTATTACTACTCATATTAAGCACAACTATATTCATGGTACGGATCGTAGCCCGACTAAGCATACTACTAATATCGCATATGATCTATTTAATATTCTCTGAAAGATATGATGAGCAATGCTAGCAGTACCAGTCATACTATTAGCAATCATATCCGTAAGGACTTCGCCCCCTGCCGCCAGCCCCCTCTCTATCATAATGGGATACATCAGAGCTGTATTGGGATGTTCGGGCGCCGTCTTGATGACATTCGGGAACGTCATGCTAGGGCAGCAGGCGATGAGCAAAACATATTGAGATGTTGAAGTTGTTGTTGAACGCTTTGTTGCCTTCTTGGCATTTTCCTTCAGTTGTTCACTGGAAGCGCTCTGGGAACGGCTGGGGATTGCTTCAGGCAATCCCTGGGAAGGTTATTTTTTCCTGCTCTG